TGAAACTTTTTAATCACATTCGTTGAAAAAAATCAGTTGCGTTTGTGCACAAGAGAATTGTAGCTGTTTCATCTCGAGTAGCAACGGCTTGTTGATGAAGAGTAACTTCTATAAAAAAAAGAGAAACTTTACACTGCATTGATTTGATTTTTCGTTTTGTCTTGCTGATCACAGGCAAGTAAGCAATATAACAGTGTGTGAGGTATTTTTTAGGATTACAATGATGATAGTTTATTGGTAGCCCATAACTAGACATGCATCAAGTCCGAAATTTCCAAGCACGATGCTCATGAGTACCGTGATTTTCGTCGTTCGATCATTCTTAGAACTAAAACGCAACATTCAGCCATTGAATCACTTTCGTCCATATTTGGGATACATTAGGCCGGGAATAAGCAAGTTCAAGGCTTCGGGCTTCTCTCGGATTTGGGTATTCCCGGCTCGGGCGATTTTAGATTCGATGTATGTCTGACATCCCTGGTCTTAATCCTGCTCATTTCTTACGAAATCTTGGAAGAATCTATCAGGATCCTGTCTCGAATCCAGAAAAATACTGTTTCTAGGATTCTTTTAGATTAAACAAGATCCTGTTCAGGTTCTTCCATAGTTATTTTTTTGAGGGTGTGGGTGTGAGTAAGAGAAGAACATAGCATCCACACCCATGCTCTGGAATACATTTAGTTTTTACAAGTTTTTACAATTTTTACTGTCTGGATACTAGAAACAACTTGAAAATTTATTCAGTCTTGATTTCATGGTCATTGCCACGACAAATTCTAAAAATATAAAGAAAGAGAAAAAAAATAAGAATTAAGTGTCTTTCAATGTCTTTCGATTATTCAGACAGACGAGAACTGAAAAAGTGGATGGTTCGATACATCAAAAAATGTGCGTCTGAATGCGTTGAAAGAAATTTTTCTTTTTCAAGGTATACAAGTTTGAAAGCATCACTTCTGATCAGTTCAGTTCTTTTTCTCTAAAAAAAAAGATTTTTTATCTAAAAGTCTATAACTCTAGTGCGTAGAAACTCGACTTTTCTTTGTATAATCAACTACTTCTTAGTATTAGAAGATCAGACATGTTAAAAAAATTTGCTCAATCTGCTGATGCCTATTTTCAATTAAATCGTATTATCTAAATGTCGTTGGCTTGTTTTCCATTATTTCAAAAATTTCTTAATAGTTAATAAACTCATAGTATCCTTGGATCGTAGGAAGTGACCCAAAATTGGCGTCATCCAAACTGGAGTCCATTAGTCCATATTTTACTTATCTTTTATATATGGATAATTTCAAAAATAAAGTTGAATACCGAGCTCGTATCTGATATTAATTGTTTAGGTGTTCTTTTTCTGGACTAGTTCTTTCGGTTGCCACTTAATTAAAACTAAATAATTAATTAAAAAGAAATTAATCAGAGATAGTTTTCAACTAAATGACAGAAAAATTGAAAATTTCTAGGTGGACTTCATCATTCCCGGCAGTAACGAACTAGCGTTAATAAACACTTTCTGAATGCTCTTTTTAGTTTTCCGGATATATTTAGGGATGATTCTATCAACTTTTTGGAGGTTTTCGCTATACTTCTCACGATATATCTGTAAATGACTCTTATAACTTCTTGAAGCTTGTTCAAGGTTGAAGTCTATAACTTTTTGATGACTATCGGACCACAATATTTGTAATTCTTTAAACGCTCTTTGAAGAGGATACCTATAACTTTTATCGAGTTATCTTCTGGTAGTACTTGCGATATTTTAGTGGCTATCCGAGGATCATACCTAGAAGTCTTCTCAGTTGCATCTAGACTTGATATTGTAGGTTATTATAATATTCCTGATTCTTGCTGTATGTGTCTCTGATAGCTTACAACAAATATTCTTTTCACGCGGATTTAGTACAATCTTGTGTTTTAGTCTTCACTAAATCGGATACTACAAAAGAATTGCCTCGAATATTATACAACTTTTTGCATACTTCTCTCTGTGTTTTATCCGTTGCAGAGAAATTGATCATAGCGGATAGATTTAGTGCGGTAAAGTTCTACTACATTGTCAATTAAGCTAGTCCATAACTTTGCTAAATAAATATCACGTCGGAGAGGTTTTAAAGGATAAGTCTTTAGTTGATGACAGACATAATCAAGATTTAATGAGTGAGAAAAATAACATATGCAAGAGAAAGATAAAAGAATACTTTGCATATGGTGTAGTGGCTAAGAGCATCTACATGCCATTCAATTATTCACTGATTCAACTGTTCGAGTATTTCACTTTTCACATATTTAACGAAGTATTCAAGTATTCATCTGTTCAAACTTTCTGTTATCGTTCACTCAACGGAGACTTTAACCGTCGAAGTATTCGATTATCTAACTTTTCGATTTTTCTATTGGTCACATTTGTAAAGTTTTAGTGTGATTATGTATTATGTTTATGAAATTATTCTTTTCACAGTTACGTTGCGAGTTGTAGTCAATAAACTATTGTCTTCACATTCTTTCTTGCGCTAAATCCTAAATTTCGCAAGGTACTTAGTGTGGTGAAGTAGATTATTTCCTTTATACTGACGCTAAGGTACATGACAATGGGACTATTTGGCTCACCATAACTATCACGACTAGTTGAAAACTCTACTGAATCGATAAGTGCTCGAATACATCGTCGGTATTTACATCTATTCATCGAAAGACAAAAGAATAACACCACCCTTACTACTTACTATTGAGTTATGAAACAATTTCCTTCTCTTCGTAGGAGAGTGACAATAATTTTTTCTGAAAAAGAAAATGTAAAAATGAGAGCAAAAAATATTCCTTTCAATATCGAGAATGTAAGAACAGTAATAGACAAGTTTCTTTTGCGTAAAAGACTGAAGTAAAAAGAAATATGTTTTTTTCTGTAAGGAAAATGCAGAAATGAGTAAAAAAAATTCTTCCGACAAGGAGAATGTAATTATCATGATAGACAAGTTTATTTTCCGGGAGAAAGTATGAGGATGAGACTAAACAAGTTTTTTTCTCGAAGGAAAATGCAGAAATGAGTAAAAAAAATTCTTCCGACAAGGAGAATATCGTTATGATGATAAACAAGTTTTTTCTGCGAATAAAGTGCAAAACAACACAAACAAGAAACAATTTTTTCAGGAGGTAAAACGCAGGAATGAGAATGAAAGTAAGTTGTGTTCACAGAAAACGCCTGCATATTTTGCTCACTTCCTGTAACCAAAAACACAAAGAATCCTTGCAGGATCTTTGTCAAATTCTCAGGGATATAGAGCGAAGATACCGATGAGATGTTATAGGAAATACGACTCATTTTTTAAATTGATTAGACTCTTCGTGTCATACACTTCTTGAGATTGTCTTGGAAAATGAGAGAACCTTGATTTTTTTAAAAAGGTGAATAGTTAGTAGCTCTATAAAATAATACAAATTCTTATAAACGACTCTTCACAGATTTTTCTACAATCAGAACGAATCTCTTAAAATGATGTATAAATATCATTCATTTCTTAATCGAAATATGTGCAAAAAATAAAAGCTTGGGAAGTAATATTACGATGCGAGTTGTTCATTTTAACGTGGGAGTAACTATCAAAATCAGTTTATATAAGTTTCTTTTGCAGTTCCAATAAAGGTTGTCACGGTGCATCCTTTGAAAAATATCAAGATACTCTTATTTGTCAAGGCCGAGATGTAAGCGGACCACAATATGTCACAAAGCTGTCTGTACGGCGGTATATTCTTTCGTAAACTCTTTATTTATATCTATCTAGTCGAGATCTCAAACACAAATATATCCATAAGAAGGATGCCTTGAATATTTGTTCAAAAAAGTGTTCTCTTTCATAAATATTAATAGTGCAAAAGAACAAGATATCCTTGCATCTTTCGTAATAGAGAAATCATTTGAAGGACTTAAATATTTAAAGAAAACATTTTTCGAGCTAAACCTCAAAGACATCGGCCGTATGAGATGCTCTATCCTTCAAACAAATTTGAGACCGAAGTGTTCGCATTCAGTTTTCTGATATATATATATATATGATATCATAGACTAAATGTTTAGTAAAATACCTCAGCTTGAGCGAGCGCACCGCGATGACGTTTTGGCCAGTTTTATTAACTTTTCTTGGTAATGAGATTGGCCAAAAGATTTGTCTTTTTGTTCTAAGACATATCTGTGCCTGGCCCAAAGTCGCTGAAAACACGACCTCTCCTGGGCTAGCTGTTCGAAAATTATAGAAAAAATAAGTGACATAACGTGATGATGAAAAAAGAACAAAAAGTTGAGGACGACATGATTGTTCTTTATTTCTCTCTGACTGTATACCGTCTCCAAAGGCGGTGAATGAAATGTAGATGTTCCTTCTTCAATGACATCCGCACCCAATCCATCCACATTCACTCACACCCACCTCCGCCCAGATATATCCGCGCCCATTCCCACCTAGATGCATCCACATGCACGTCAACCCAGATCCATACACATCTACCAGCGCCCACATCCACAATCCACCAATACCCACATCCGTCCAGATCCATCCACATCCGCCCACATCCGCATTCTCAATTTAACAACAATATATTGCTGCACGTTTCGAACGTGTATTGACAGAAATACTGCTCTTTTCTAATGGATTTCATATCACTTATTTTGAATTCGAAAAGTCATTCTACATATGATTACCAACGTTCATTTTGTATTTTGTTAATAGTTTATTCCTTTATTTTACAAATAAACGAAAACAGGCATGACTACTTACGCACAGTGGTCTGATGCCGATATCACAGATGCAGTCAATGAAGTAAGTATAGTTTACAATACACTATGAAGTAAATCGTTTTCACTATTCTAGTGGATGGAAAACCGACACGAAAGACTAAAAGAAGAAGAGAAGTAAGTAGTTAGACGTGTGGTTGAGTGAATGTGACTTCTATGAGCAGGAGATACTCCTACATCTTCTCTCGCCAATGAGCGGGCAGTTTTAATCGTATACATGAAACGACTTTCTTATAGATTGGAACAAACAAAGAAAGTAAATGATTATGGTCAAATACATTTTGCCAAAAATGATCGAAAATCATGGGTAAAATTGTTTAATTTGTTTAAATTATCGTTTTATAAGCATTTATCTCTATATTATCTAATGCTTGAGAGTTAAGCTTGAAACACCAGAAAACTTCTCGCACGATGTATTTATTCCGTCTAGTATCCGACTGATTTTAGATCAGTCTTCAGCTTTCAAAATATCAAATCGGTATTGTCGGTGACGTTTGATGTTTTGAGTGACAAATAATCAAGTATTCGCATGAACGTTACAGTTAAACAGAGAATATCAATAGCGAATGATTGCTTGGTTCTGTATGAATAAGGGCGAGTTTTATTTTATTTAAGCAGTAAATAATCTTGAGATACCGCATTCTCTAAAAAAAACCGGGTGTGAGTTTGGATGTGGCTATGGTTGTGGGATGTGAGTTAAGCGAAGATAGACGCTTACATCTACACACACACCTGCAAGATATCCAACTAAGTTCTAGTCACTTAATACTAATAATTTAATGATATACTGGTTAGAAATTTATTAATTTCTATAATCCGTAAAATATAGACTATCGTTAAGTGCACTCAAAATTTCCTGTTGACATGAATGCAAGCTCACTTTTTTCGATCAAAGTTCTGTCTATCTTTCGCTGAGCATTCGTAGCATCTATTATGCGTCTTATTTTGGACGTTACGAAAAGAAAAGTTACGGCAGAATAGGATCGCCTTTCTTTTTATGTTAGAGTCAAATTACTAATTGATTTATTTCGTTTAGTATGTTCGGTTTCCATTTTTTCTGCCACCAAAAGATAAAAAATCTGACAAATCAAATGCGCCACAACAAACTAGTTTACAACGTGGTCAATCAAATCAGGAAGACTCTGAGGACGACTCGTATGAAGAACACATAAAAACAGAAGATCACGAAAATGAGAAAGAACGTACATTATCACTCAAATCTGATCATAATGATGACGGTACGACAGATCCACAATCGACTCAGACAAATAAAAACTCAGCAGCTCATCAAGTATGCAATCTTCCAAAACGTGAAAAATTGCTTTCTACCAATAATAATGAGGATGATGTGGCGGAAAAAAATACAATTGTGTTCGAAGCACCAGAAATTGTTGATTTTATGCGTACTGCATGGAACTTACCGTCGCCTGAATTAATTATATCGGTAACAGGTGGAGCAAAATTATTTGAAATCATTTCCCCAAATGAACATCAGCAATTTCAACAAGATTTGGTACAAGCTGCGACAGCAACAAGTGAGAGGCACCTATTTGTAAGACGCTCTGAAAACTTCTTAAAAACCTTTCTCTAAATCTCTACTATTCATTTCAAGTTTATTTTTAATCATTCAGATGATAAAGTTATAAATAGTATTTTGATTTTTACGCTTGAACTTAGTACCATTTAAAAATTTCAATATCAAGTATATAATGTGGAAGCCCTAACTCTTCTCCTTGTATAAAGAAACATTATATGTGCTTATACAATTTGCACTGACAAAACTACTTCCTATTCGAATGAATCCGAAAAGTTTTATTCAATGTATTTGATTTGTCAGGTAGAGTAAATGACCATATCTTCGTTTACCTAATAAAGTATAGCAGAGAGCTAAAGTACCACGCAAATAAACATACAATGGTAGATATGTGTTGGTAGGTGTGCGAATAAGTTTTATAAGAAAAGATCATGTATACACTCATTCATAAGGAGTCATTCCGTCTACACCAATGTCTTCATCCTGAAAACTTTAAAGAATTAATAATACTTCGAAAAGTTAATTTTGTTTTAACAGTTATTTGAATGTCCATAGCTCGTCTAAATGCTAGAATTAAATCAGATATAAAAAAATCTGGAAGAATAGTTTTATAAGTGAAGTAACACGATATTATATAATGTAAATTTTCTTTTGATATTGAAACTATTTTTTATGAAGATGCTTGGGTATTCACTGGTGGTACTCATACAGGCGTAATGAAAGAAGTGGGTGATGCATATGATAAATTCCGTTACAAGAATACAAAAAAAGCGTCGCAAATCCCTTACATTGGTATTGCTAGCTGGTATGCAACAACAGGTAGAATTATTTTACATCTTTATGCTTTAAAGTCTGTTCCTAATCACATCTAGATTATAAACAACTCAAGCAAAATCCACCCTTAGAAGATAAAAATAAATCGACACAACTAGCAGTAAATATAGGCAAATTATATATTTCAAACTTATTTATCTATAGATTGATCAGACACGTTTCAATAAAAAAATTAAAAAAAAAGCTGAAGATCGTGTACGACTTTATCGAACTCGAAAACCATCGGACAAAGAAAAACCAGAAACCTATCCTCTCGATCATAATCACACCCATTTTCTGCTGTTAGAAGATGAATTTGGTGAACACGACGACAGAAGCAAGAGGCCCGGATATAATGGTTTTTTACGAGCCGATTTAGTGCTAGACTTGCGATCCAAAATTGAAATGGAGTCAAGAAAAACCATACAACTAGGACAACGTAAGGAATATGAAAAGGATATTCATATGTCCTTTGAATTCTCTTCTCAAAGCGTATCATACTTGATACAAATATGACGCATCTATATTTATTTTATAGCTTATCTTATCCCAATTGTGCAAATTCTGGTTCAAGGTGGCCCTTCATCTATTCTAACGGTTTGTGAGTCAATTGGACGAAAAACACCCGTTATTGTCATTGAGGTATTTAAAAGATTTCGTTTACATATGTTTATTAGCTATAGAGCCTTTCATGACTTTTAGGGTAGTGGGCGAGCAGCAGATTTCATTGCGGAAGAATACCAATATCTATATGGTAACGATGAAAATCGATTTCGAAACAAATACAACATAGCTAAAGATAACGAAAAGTTAGCTAAAAAATACAAACGTTTCAGGAATTACGGTACAGAGCGGTCTCAAGCCCAATATGACGAAGCAAAAACGAAGGAAAAATTCAAAAACTAGTATACTTATATGTCATATTGTGATTGAGTTTTTCTTATATTCTCTTATAGCAAAACGAGCGAACGGTTTACATCTGAACTAGCAAAAGCAATCATAGTGGAGAGAAACCGCGAAGATTTTATTAAAATGATGAAATCTCCTGAAGGTTATTTCTTATTGAATTCGTTTAAAGTGGTTGGCGGCGACAAAAAGCCAAAACTCGATGATGCTATAATGAAAGCTCAGTTAAATGGTAAGATATATTTAACATTTATACATACCAAAGGTCGAATAGAAAGAATTACTTGTTCGTCACTATGATCTTTGTTAAAAAATATTATGTCTAGGCCCGCTACTTTGAAAGTTTTGTTCATTTTCTCATATTCAAATATAGTACTTGTATACTTGAGCAAATACTGGGTGGCAATGATGTCGTTAACCATCGACATATGTGAGAATTTCTCTTACAGCAAGAATGATACTAATTTATGAGTTGAACACATCATGAGTATAGTATACGTAGTACAAAGCTTGCTGTATCCTTTACAAGGTAGCCAGAGATAAAGACAAAATAGAAATAATACTTGACGCGGACTGAGACAGGATGAAAAACAGATGCTATTCAGCGCGAAAAGCATGTATGTATAAAATGGATAAACATTCAATGGAATATAATAATATAGAAGCTCATAGGAATCAGTAACGTTGATAATGACGAATAATACTTAATTTACTGAATTGTATGAATGCAAAAGTATAACAAAACCATGCAGCGAAGGAGAACGAAGATTATCACTAGGATATCTGTAGGATTAATATGTAAAAAGTCATAATACTGTTTATGTCATACATTGAAGAGTCTACTAACATATGCTTCAATTTATAAGTTATTATTTACTCTTAATCAAATATTTACATGTAACTTCAAGATCCAATTCGAAGTCTTATAATTGTGGGTATAGATAAAGAAAGGATGAATTCACACCTATACCCACATCCACACCTACCCACATCCTTGATTAATTTCTATATATAGAGGCATGGTACACAAGTGGTAAATTCGATCAAAGAACGCAACTAAGGCTGGCCGTTGCTTGGAACAAATACGATCTGGTAACGAAGGATACTCTGAAAGATCGGGATTTGGATGATGCTTTGGTAAATGCACTGCGTCGATATTCCGTCAATTTTGTTGATATATTTATTGAACGTAATGCATCATTTGAGCGATTACAACGTCTTTTTAACATCACTAGTTTTTATATAGATCTGGTAGGAGCATTTCGCTTAACCGATTTAATTGAACATACTTTTTCTTTGCTATATATGACAGTATCACAAAGAACGTCAGGAACAACTCCATCTGCCTGATGATTTATATAATAAAATCTCATCATCTGTATCATCAAACTCTGGACCACAATCTGAACAGCACAAACATACTCAAAAAAATGATGGTATCATTGGAAAAGAGATGAAGGAAACTTATTATAAAACTTATCTTGGTAAAAAATATGATCCTTATAAACCTAAACCCCAAGAGGTACTTATATAATGCTTCAAAACCAAGACTAACCAATTAATATATTTTCTATTTTGATTTTCTAGATAGATTATGATCTTACTCTAGGTAAGTACGCATTACTGTATCCGACATTTACTATTGATATTTTCTCTAAATAGATGATGCTTACGGTTTTCTTAATCATAAACATAAAAAAGATTTCGGTTTTAATGGGATGCTCACATTTTCTTGTAATGATGCTATCCGGCACAACGGTCATGTTACTAGCATTTCTATTAATTTTTGTGATTTGCTAAACATGCCACTCGGAAATTCACCATCAAAAGATCGACCTTCAATTTTGTTGTATATTATTTCACCAACAAGAGACGAAAACGAATTTGTTATTACTCACCAATATTCACTGCCGAACGAGATGATTACAGAGTTATTATCCAGTGAAAGAAAATCACCATTTTCTGATGAAGATCTTACTGGCATTCGAACAGTGCAAATTCAAGAATCAACTCTTTATCTTGAAGTTGGTCAGTTCTTAGCAATTGGCTTCGATGAATATTTTCGTAGACCTTTTCACGTGAAAGGAAGTGATTCATATTATATTGATATGAATACAGCTAATAATCAGTTGAAAACAGGCGAAGCACAACTATTTATTAAACAATCAATTTATTGTGCAGCATTCAAATTTACAATAAAACCAGCAATAAGTTCGCGAATATTCTCTCATTGTATCTAAATAACTACTAGGAAACAACGTTCTTTTAGGTTTTATACCTGATCTATTGTTGTGGTCACTATTTTCCGATCGACCGAGTCTGACTACTTGTTTATGTTCTCATTCTGAGGTATATTAGTAATACTTTAATTTATTATTAATTGTTATCTTATGTCATAATTCTAGAACACAATTGTCGCAACACTCTTAGCGAATAAAATCTATCGATTTGCTGCTGAATTAGTGACTGAAGGAGACAAAATTGAAGAGTATTTGCAAGAAGCAAAGTATGATTTATTACTTCTTCTAGTATAAGCAACAGCAAAGTCACTCGAGGAAAAGTTGATTATTATACTGCGTAACGAAATATTTATCTGTTAAGCTTTACTTAGAAACGAAATATATTATGAGATATTGTACAATGAACTATATAGCATGGATAAAATAGTTACTTCATACTTACAACTTTTCATTAACAATAAAGTCGTAAACGAGAATAGTCCTCATTAATTTATATCTGCATCTACTGTATCAAAGATCCAAATGTGCTAGCTTGAAACAAAATACGATACTTATCTGTATTTAAATTATATTCGATTAATATTTCGAACCATTGAAGTTTTATTTCTTCTTTTTAGTATTCTCACAGTATAACGTAAGCTACTAATAAAATCTTACGTCACATAGGATAACTATAGCATTTACTTTGCTATCTTGAGAATGTAAAATATGAACATCGATATGAGTTTAGTAGAAGACTGCCCGCTACACACCCACCCACACCCTATTTTTACCTCTTAATACTTCACTTCTTTCAAATCGTTTTCAGATAACGATGAGTAGTGCTTATATTAGTCGATGTAAATCAAGTTGTCTCTTGTGCGCTATGTCTTATAAAGTTTTTATTATCTCATTTTAGCAAATTTGATGATCATGCTGCACGAATTATGGAAGAATGTCATAAACTAGACGAAGATTTTGCAGATGAAATACTGAAAACAGAGTCGAAACTATATTACAACTACAGTCCGTTGCGGCTGGCAGAAGAAAGTAACAGTCGTCGATTTCTAGCAACAAACTGCGTCCAGAAACATTTAGACAAACTATGGTATGGTAAATTTCATAATCACCATCGCTCGTTCATCGTAATTCATAGTATAGTAAATGATAAGCATACATCATGATTACTTATTATTCAATAGGGTATTTTACTTTTCTAGATATTCCTTTATACGATTTTTTTACCAATAATTTGGCTTGTCATGAAATGCGTATCTAAATACTCATTGAACAAGGGTAAATATGAGTACGTATTGTATTTGTATAATTTATTATCAGTTTTAAAACAACTTTAATGAAAACTGTGAAGTTCCTTTCCGAGCACTGTTCAGAAAAAGGATTTTCATGAATTAAATGAAGCATCTGAATTCGAACTATAGAAGTTTTTCATAAAATATTTTGTATGTATAGAAATATACTAAACCAGATTTACTAGACTATCATTGTAAACAGTGTCTTGTGTGCGTCTTCTTCTTCTACTTTAAATATTGCTGCAGGTCATGGTCCAACAGCAAATGGAATTTTGGTGAATCTTATTATAAATCAGCGATCGTTCGATTTTATTACAATATTGTATGTATTCAATAGTAAACCACTTTAATTGTTTGAGTGTTATTTATTCTTTTGTCCTTTTTTTAAGTATTTCTACATTTTGTTCCTCGGTTTATTCAGTTACGTCCTCCTTGTTGACTATTTCCCGTTAAATAACAATAACGGTAGACGAAGTGGCTATACAAATATAGCTATACCAATAACAGAAATTCTTATTCATATTTGCATGTTTGGTTACATCGTGGAAGAACTCTATGAAGTCAGTTTTTAACGCGTTTTTACAATTTATATTGACTTCTTTTTCACTTCTTAGTTCGTTCAAGCCTTTAGAAATAAACGAAAAGGCAGTAGTCGTTCGAATTTGCGGATCTTTTACAGATTTTTCACAGATGACAAATGGAATATTCTTGATTTATGCATAATTTTATCGTATCTTATTGGTTTTATCACACGTTTTATCGTTGTTGAAGGTGTTTTTGCAGCGTCGAAGTAACTAGATTTCTTCCAGAATAGGTCAGTGAAGTCTTTTATTTTTTCCATTATTTTAGGATTCTTATGTGCTGTTCTCTGTTCCTATCGTATGTTCGGCTCTTACATCTGTTTGTGGCGTCGGAACGTCTTGGTACTAAGTTACTAATGATATTTAATACGGTACAGCTCCTTCTATCATTTCAAAAGAAATATATATGACAACGACATTTTTATTTTATTGTAGATGAAAGATCTATCGTTCTTTGTCTGCTTCATCTCAATATTTCTCATTGGTTATTCTGTTACATCTTACTCTTTAATTACAACGGAGCAACAAGTTAACTGGTATCAAACATCCGGTAATAGTCCATCGACGACTTATACATTGGCGAACGACGGTAGTGGACTCTGGAACTTTACTATTATACGTAATGTTATTGATTGGGGCATGTGGAAAGTCTATGGACAGGTCGAGTTATTAGATCATCAACAAGTTGATGATAACACAATTAGTGGTAAGATATGGTTAAGAAAACGATAATTGCATGTTGATCATCTTTTGGATTAATGTAATTGAAACAAGGGCAAAAAGAAAGAGTAGTAAAAATTGTGAAAAGAAAAAACACCACTAAAGAACTATGATCACTTACAAATAAGTCTTTAGCTAGCAGAATGAGATATGCGTAACAGATGAGTATCTAATTAATCTAGTCGTGCGAATAGATATAAATGTGTATTATGGCTGTAGTGTTCTCCGTTAGCCATACGACGGAGAACATGTCATTTCTAGTATAGTGGTAGTACAGATGCTTGGTAAGCAGAAGATTTATGGTTTGATTCTTTGTAAGGCGGACTATATTTCTCTTCGTTTTATTATCAAACCATCACGCTGCTATTCGGGCGATAACAACTTATAACAATGTGAATAGGATGAGCATTTTAGTATAGTACTTCAGCACTTCTTCTTTATGACCGCGACTACTAATTCTAGTTCCACAGATCGATTGTTTGGTGTTTTATTTTGAATTGTACGATATGCATTATATTGCATCAAAAACGATGAAAAGTTCAGTTACAACTCTTAGTGCCAAGGCCTTACAAGAATAAAGATAAATCAAGATCAATCTCATTGACAATGATTTGTTGAGAATGATTTACTTAGAAGGAGAACAGAATTATTGAAACGCAATAGGAAAAAAGGATCAAACACAATAATATCTGTGATAGTGCCTCGCCATAGCAAATGTGACAAGCCCATCGTCCACACCATTCTTTTCGTCAAAATGCCAAAATACAAATACTTAGGCTAGATACGAATCGATACTGAATTTAGATCGTATGTGCTTCTCATTTTTCAATAATTAAAATTCTCACGATATAGGCTCACTTGCCTAACGATAAATAAATACAACGAGACCCTTCTTTACTAGTAACTTGAAAAAATTACCTTTTATGTTTCACTTTAGCTGACAATGATGCTTATGGTAACACAGTATTTGTTTTCACGATAATTTTTGTTTGCATTGCTAATGTATTACTTCTCAACGTGCTCGTTGCATTGTTTAAGTATGTTGCCATTAAATTCAAAATCGTTTTGTTTCATTGGTCCTGTGATCATTTTTTAGTGTTACGCTAGAAAAAACTAAAGAACATGCACATATTAGTTGGGCTTATCAGCGGTTTGTACTTGTAAACGAATACAGCGAGAAATCTACGCTACCTTCACCCATTAATCTTGTTTACTACGCTTACAGAGGTATCAGATTTCTGTATATTCGTATAAAAAAATGGAAAAAAGGTAAAATAAATAATTCCAAGAGTAATTCTACGTTACAGTGTATTTTTATATTGAGATTACATATATGGTACAGTTCATAAGATAATCAAATTAGACGCTAATATCTACGATGCGATTACATTTAATGCCATGGATCAAGTGAAAGTCACTGGCGTAATTAATACTGTTTCAATCAATTTTTCAAAACTACCAGAGAACGAAGAACCTAACATTACTCTATATGTTATTAACGTCCATAGGAATGCCATCGGTCTAGATTATTTTCGGATTACTAAGGAATATCCACTAGGAGAACAAATCGGAACTGAAAACGGAGATTCGTCTATAAAGAAATTTTCTGCTCCCAAAATTAAAATTGAAAAAGATCAGTATTTGGGTATTCGATTTTCATCAGAAGCTGGAAGTCCGTTTAGTACGGAGCGCAATCAGTACTATTGCTATTTTGATGGTGAAACTGATCCTGAAACACCTCTACAATTTACAAGATGCTGGACGAAAGGAATTGCAATGAGTTTTCATGTTCAACCAACTCAAGGTTCGTCAAAATACTTTTCGAAGCATTTGATTCATATGAACTCCTCATTTTTTTACACGCTTTGCAGAAGGAAGCCATGATCGGTATCCGACGAAGCAAAAAGAGAAAGATAGCAGAATTTTCGGTGAGTAAAATATTGCTCTTCAAAACTTTTGTTAAATATTTTTGTTTTCGATTAGCCGAGCGATATACATATCGAATTTATGACAATATTTTGCGAGAGCGTAGCATTGCTCAGGACTATTGGGAAAATGTCATCGAATGTCTCAAAAAAGAAGAGAGACATACGATTCAGCAGTATAGTGCTGAAGAAGCTAATTGGAAAAAAGTGGTGAAATTGGTTCATGAATCAAATAAGAATCACAATCAACCGAGACTCTCTAATGAATAAACAGAAAATTTATTGTGTATAGACGTACTCTATTATTCACGACTAATCATTCATCCATGAGTTAGTGCTCGTTCAGAACTCAGAGTGTATCTTTTTTACTAATTTTTTTTGTCGAATGTTGAACATTTTGTAGTGTAAAGGGCGATTCTGCATTCACTGAACAATTAATTATAACTTATAATTATATTTTTGTCGTTTTTGTCTTGTGTTGTCTATTATGTGTGCGTTACGGATTTTATGTGCTGCGTAAACATATTATATTACTTATTGGTGTTTTTAGATAACCGAAAAAAACTACGATAATAGGCCGTATTCAGTTTTATAAATAATTACTGTATAAGTACTTGTCTCATTTTAGATGAAACTAACCTATACGATAACGTAAGTAATAAACGATATCGTTAAATATATTGAAAGAGTTTAAACCAATTAATCTTCTACAAATCAACGACAGGATAGATTTAAACATTTCGTGAAATACAATATTCAAATAACCATTCGCAATATATTAACACATGTGAGTAAAAGAGAGATGATGCTATTCAGATTACTGAATTTAAATATGCAAATGTGGTCTTTTATGAAAGCATATATTACTAGGAAAGTATATGAATAGTTAAGTGCAGGGAATATTTTATGGAGTAGAAGAAAATAATGTGAAGATAGACTGATTCTCATCCATATCTCTACATGGCTTTAAACTACACAACATACACACTCTTACTAATAAACTACCTACTATGTATAATATTATATCGAGAAGATCACTGCAATTGTATGCCAAATGTGAGAGCAAAGCATGGTATAATTCAGAAACAGTATTTCACAGCTTCTCCGTAGATAAATTCAATATGGAACCACACTTTTGTCATATTAATCATTTTGCTAATTTATATTTCATATCTTTGCCGAGTCTAATTTGATGTTTGCTTACAGAATTGGAAAACTTCAGTTTTTCTTTGACTTCACCTATGCTGAATGAATAACACGACATTATGAATACTTATTAACTTATACATAGATATAGGATAGATTATTCAATGGTTAAATATTTAAAACATTAGTTAATTTGCACAAAAATAATGTCGTGATCCAATATCCGTACAAGTATGTTGAATTTTTAAGGTCTGGAAAAGTCCATCCGGTTACTACGAGCGATATGAAATCGATCAGTCAGTTATCGACCACACAAATAGCAGCTACTGTAGAAGGGTAAGATCTCTCAATGCAAAATGTTCTGAACTGTCTCGTACTGTATGTATTAATAGGCAAAGTCATACTATAATTGATATGTTTGATGACAATAAAGGAACTCCAGCGAATGCAAAACCAAACCTACAAAACATTCAATCAAAACAGCCGAATGAAGAACATGTAGATCAATCGAAAATTAATAATGACACATTGCCAATTGTTTGGTTAGATCTAAATGTTCATGATGAAATTGAAAATATAGACTTGCAACGCAAATTGCAAAAATTATACAAAGTGTTTAAAGCTTTTAATGATGTTGAACAATGTGAAGAATACATTCGGAAATTATCGACTGAAGAAAAGATTATGTTACTTGTTTCTGGCAGTATTGCCAGCATTCTTCTCCCTCACATTGTTGACAAAATACAAACCCATGTTATTTATATTTATACCGGAAGCAAAAGAAAAGACTATTGTACAAAGAGATTTAAAAAGTATGAAAAGGTAAGCACGAGTGCATATGTTTCGCATTTTGGCTGGTTTTTGTGTCTTAGTAGATTCTTGAGATTACTGAGAATGTGAATGTGATAGGAATCCACAGAGAACATACTCAGTTCAAGGTGCTGCGCACTGGAATGATTTCCATCAGAGCATTGGTAGAAGAAGTCTACTAACACACTGTAGGATTTTTCTCCGATACTTTGCTAAGAATTGTCTGAACCGATAGATATCCGATTGGATACTTGCCCAGTTACTATAATATTCCGTGAAGTTTTTTTCAGCAAATCGGAGTCTAGACCACCCGCTTAAAAACGTTACACAATGTAGTAGCTAAAACTAATAACATGTTGTAGAATACCCAGTCAGACGAATTCGAAAAAAACGTAAAAAACGACGTAAAAACTTAACGCGTGATAGATCAGGAAAAGTGTATCTTTTCAATTTCTTACGCGCGAAAACTCACTGCGTATTAACGTTGTTGAAACCTTGAACGGCATTAACACGTGGTGAATTTTCACGCGTAAGAAATCGTGAAAAGTTGCTCTTTTTCAGATTCATCACGCGGTGAATTTTTACGACGTTTCATGCGTTTTTTTGGAATTTATCTGTCTGAGCCGCACCATCTTAGATGGTATTTTATAAAACTAACACAAAAATACGCGTCCAACACTTAAGCATTGAGATCAATAATTCCGATGGGCAATTACTTTCGGATCCGACAAGACTATACAAAATTCCATAGAATTTCGGAGGACGAAATGGCGCCTGAATCCGTCGGATCCGAGTTCGACCAGTTCCCATAATGGGTCCAATAGTATTATAAGACCGTCATATAGTGTTGATAAAAAGAATTGCAATTAAATTTGTAACAACTAGCTTTCAGGCGATGCAATCCGTTATTCTTCTGACTCCCGAATTCTTATCGGATGGCGAGATCTTATAGGATCCGATAAGACCCATCAGAGGATGTATTTACCTGGGCGTAAATATGAATGAAATTGTAAAAGTTAGCGTATTTTCCAGAGTAAAAACTAGTGCAGAAATAACGCAAAAAGACATGCTTGAAGTCTAAATTTAAAAATATAGCATAGAATTTTTCAATTGACAACATATTTACAGATTAAAATCAACGAAGAAATACGTGTTAAATCTTTAACATATAAATAAAAGTATAATTGATTTTGGTCTAGGTGAAAGAAGTTACCGATGAGGAAAAGATACTAATTCAGAAAATTTTCGAAGAACAAAGTGCTTATGGGAACACAAAACAAAATGATAATCGGATCAGAGACAATGAAGATTTTTCAATAAATATTTACAATTTAAAAGAAAAGTGCTGGGTCGAAGATCAACTGCACGCCAATCATCGTTTTATGTGGATGTATTTATTCATGAATACGTTGGTTAGGCTGAGTCCATCACTGCCTCCAGTTATAACAGAAAATGAAAAAAAGCAACTTATTGCGGAGCTGCGTAGAATATATCGTGATGATGTGCCTACTATGTGCAGTATCCGAGACTTCGAACACAAATATGCTTCAGATAGGGCCATTAATTGGTATACACCTGAGTCTCTGTTATATAAAGAACTGAATAAAGCTATGTGCGAAAGAAATTTGACATTGTTACTACCGTTTCGATTTTTCATCTTCGATATATATCAAGAATTAAAAATATTGTACGGTTGTTCATCCACAAATGTTCATCATACTAAAGATGATATTAATCGTGCACAAGAACCGTTGATTTTCTATCATTTTCAGCTCATATTAGAAAATACAGTTACACGATTAAAAAATTCAATTAAAGGATATATGTCAACAAACTCATTTTCTTCTACAAGTTCGTACGAAAAAGTAGCAAGACAATTCCTGAAAAACAATGTAGAAAAAGAAGATAACGCATCCAGTGATAAGCAAAGAGTAATTTTTGAGATTGAAATCGATCGAACTCTAAAGACGCTGCCGTTTGCTTCTATTAAAGAACGCAGCAAATATGAAGTGGAAGATGAAATACTGTTTTCACCAGGAACAATATTTAAAATCCAAAGCGCTGATGATAATCCCAACTATAGTCGCCTTTGTATTGTAAAATTAAAACTTTGTGGCGAAGAAGACGAAGAACTTAGTGACTTAATGTCTTATTGGAAACAAAATATGGAGTCAGAGACAGACTTAACATCTTTTGGCAGCGTATTGATGCAATTAACAGATCAATTAGAACAAATAAAACGTTTTTATAAAGAGCTGAAAAAAGATAATAATGAAGCTTCATTGTGCAGAGACTGTTACAGTATATTGGGAAATATATATTTGAAGAAAGATGAGTACCCACAAGCCATCGGCTATTATATAAATGCCATTAAGCAGTCGAAAGACTTGGAAGATAATCAGAAATGGTTAGTAAAAGGTTATACTTGTTTAGCCAATGCTTATTTTGCAAGTAATAACAAAGAAGATGCTCTCAAATGTTATAAAGAAGCACTGGAAAGGTTCAACAAGGAAAACATCGAAACATACAAATATGCTATTAAATGTTATAATATTATGCGCAAAATTCATCCAGATGAGAGTGAATATGATGATGTTGGACTAGTATTATATGAACAAGTAGTAGAATTTAGTAAAAAAAATTCTTTAAAAAGCCCTTTCAAGTTGATTGAAATACTAAAAAAGATTTCTGAAATATATCGCAAAAAAGAAGACTTTAAAAATGAATTCAAATATTTAAAACAGGCATTGGAAATTTCTCAAGAATTTTTAAAGCCAAATGATCCTGAAATTGCTGCTCTACATATCGAAATAGGTGATATCCATCGAGAACAGGAAAAATTTATTCTAGCTCTATCATCATACCACAGAGCAGCTAAAATTTACTATCACTGTTATCCACAAGACGACAAACACAATACAGATATTCAAGAAGTTATCCAGAAATGCAATACTAGCCTAAAGTATGAGAATACGAAATGTTTTCTGAAATTTATCTATATATTTTATATTTCGGTAACATCAAAAGAACACGGGAAAATACTACAAAGACAATGGATGCAGAGAATAAGCCAATCGACCATCATCAACCTACAGCGGGATCAAGTCAGACAAATCAACTGTGTTCTCAAGATCAGTCATCAGTATCAACGGTCAAAAATAACAAGAACACTGAATCGATACAATCCAAATTCGGTAAACATAGTCCACCTGTACCCATGAATAACGAGAGTTCCACCTAAGGATGTCGTGCTGCAAGATCTTCTCGTCCAACTCCAAAAGACTAAATCAAATAATGCAGCCAAACAAGAATTTATTGAAAACTATTCATTCTTAGTTTTAAGCTTTAACAATTCGTTTGTAAAAGATTCACTCATTGTAATTGGTATAATGAGATTTATAAGTTTTGCCAGAATTTTAATTCTATACAAACATTGCTAACGATACATATCAGCATAACTTTGTATTGACTCATCTATGAAGAGAAGTAATATAATGAAGATGTCACTCATCTTGAGGGTGTGGGTGTGGGTTTGAGTGTTGATGTCCAATGAATAGAATATCTACACCCACTCACACACACCCACACCCTTCTATTGTCACTCATAATCACATCTAGATGCTAACATATACTATGGAAAATAGTTAATGATCAGTACTAACAAGGAACAATTGTATAGAATGATGTTCTTATCAACGCTCTATGAAAAGATTTTATTATTAAATCAGTTGTTAAAAAAAACAAGCGTATCAATTTCATCTGTCATTTGGAAATGTATTGATGAAATTAAGAAAGGATTAGGATACTACTATAGCACCAGATATATGAAAACATCTTAAACTTTATAATTGAATAAATTTTTTAGTGTTCATATGATTTTTTCAATTTGTTATTTAATCTTTTTTTTTCTTTGCACTCTTCAAATATTGATTGCTCTTATAGATTAATTAATTATGATCATATCAACTTTAATACAGAGACTTATTTTTCATAGAATTATATATGAGAGAATTAGCATGTTTGGCTGTGTATAAAAATGTGCATATATGTCTATGCGGATAAAGGAAACAATCATCAAAAGAAGTTTTGGTAGAATTCTATTTATCATAAAAACAGAACGAATAAATTATTCAAATTTAACAAGAAGTTCTACGTATTTTAAGTATTAAAACCAGCAAATATATTTGAGGATGTAGGTGTGGATTCATCTTGTATTTATCCACACCCAAACACTATAGAACATTTGCTTTGACATCTTTCCATAAAAGGAAATTCAACAGTGTTTAGTCCAGTGAGCATGAAGTCCATAAGATCGATTCAATTCAACAGCTATCAAATTTGTTGTTCGATCATGAACGGACTGTTTTTAAACTAGATGATTAGTATTCCATCTCTATAGCAAATATCTTCTGCTAAGATTTGGTCTATGTCAATGTTAGTTTTTTCTTTTACGAATCGTAAATGGCTGGTATAATCAAATATCAGTTGATCTATAGTTAAAAATGTCAAATTGTTGTCATGATGATTATATTAGAATCTTGAAGGTGTTGATCTGAATAAGACTAGCTAAGAATAAATACAAGATGTATAGAATATAGACCAATTAAGAATCATATCCTAAAATTATTAACATAGATTAATAGTCATAAACAAGTAATGAGAATATTAAAGTATATAATTATTATTTATTAAAGAAAAAATTAACTTAAGTAAGGAAATTTAACAGCAATTCTTTCATTAATATTTTTATAATCATCTTTTAAAAGACGAAAAAATTTATCGTAACCTCTTCCACCATTTTCACGATCAACCAAACGTAAGACTTTTTTTGCACACGATTTAAATAATGTCATATTTTCTGGTTCACAATAAAAAGCCGATAATTCAGCAGGTGAACATACTGATACCATTTTTGTTCGATGAACTCGAAATCGAGCATCAACAGCTTGTATACCAGCATAAGCTTCCATAAGTTGAACATATTCAGTACTTTTTCGAATGTCACTTAAATGTTGAATTAAGCTTCGACATTTTGGTGAATGAGATTCATATAAACTTGAGCCTGCAGTGCCAGTACATGTTTTTAGAATATTAACTTCACTTATAGCTTTAAATAAGTGTTTACGTTCGTCTGGACAACATTCATGTATCATACGGCATCTCGTTCTTCTGTCTCCACGAACAGATTCATATGGAGATTGAGTAATATAATGATTTTGTAATTCTGTCCATTTTTCTGCATCTTCATCAAATGATGATAGTCAATCTTCATTTGAATCAATTGCCTTGGCAGCAAAAATTATAATAGTTAAAAGAAAAATGAATTTAGTAAATATTCCGATAATTTAACTAGAAAAAGAATAAGAATGCCTATTGATTTTGAATGAAAAATAGAAATAAATAACTTACTTGATTATCTAACAAAATGATATATGAACTATGTCGATGTTAGTGTAGTATTTATATGGTGAAATATAACAACAATAGACAGTAATAACGATTAGTCGAGGTAAGAAGAATGACCTTCTTTCTTTTCTAACAAATGCACTTCGAATAGTAATCGATTCGAACAATAAAAAGTATACATATGACCATATATCAGTCGGCTGAATCTAAATATATGACCTTTTTGAAAAGAAAAGAAACATGGAGATAATAATCCTATCATATTTTTTAAAAATAATAAATTAAACTTTAAATAAAATTTTTCTTTTCATAATAGCCATATCTATTTAGTTTACAAATAATTTCACTACATTCTATTAATATAATAGTAGTCATATAATGAACAAATGTTTAAGTATAAAAAACCCTCTTTCTTGTTTTGTTAAAATATTTGTTAAATAAAACAAGTTATCAATATATTAATCAACTGAAAATTATGAATGATAAGTTTATCTTTAACTAAATCAGATACGTTATTGTGTAAAACAAACACTACTAGGGCATTTTGAACTAATCGAATTTGTTTCGATGACATCAGAGAATAGAAAGAAAAGAAAAATAAATATATACCATCGTATGTCATATTAGGTATGCCAAAAATATGCAAAGAATCTTCTATTTATTACATAACGAGTAAATAATACTTCGAAATCATCAAAAATTAGTTTTTCTATTCATTCGTATGCTTTTCTTCAAAAAACAAAATAATATAATTTAGATATTTTTCTTTAGACTAATATTTATTTCTATTATATGAAAAAATGAACATATTTTACAAATTAAATAAGACAATAATATAATTTAAGAAAATTATTTCAACAAAATATTGTTTAATTTTATAAGTTGAATTTAGATCGACGAATTTTCATTTCCATTTTCTTTAATGAGTAGGTAAGACCATGCCATGTAAACCAATCAATTCCTTCACCGGAATTATTATTCTTTCGTTCACCATTTGGATTTGCGGCATGACACTTGTTATACCACCAACCACCTTTATAATGTTGAGCACAGTTCCATTCTGATGATCCATCATTATCTCGATCTTTAGTTGTAAATTTCATGCCATTAACGTTAGTTTTGAAGTTATCAGCTGATGAGACACCAATTAATGAGTCACCAGCATCACCTGTGACAAAATTATCGTATGTCATTCGGTAATCAGTTGATTCATCACCAATACGAAAACCAGAATAAAGAGCAAATCGTTTTGCTCCCTCGTAATCTTCAAGATCGAATCGTAAATCATATTTACGTTGATTTGTTAAGGTATAAATTTTATCGTTTCCTAACCAAAATTCACCTCGACCATCTCCGAAACCTTTTTTATAATCGTTCCATCCTTGATAAAAGTCTTCTTGATGTTTAAATTCACCTCGACGTTGTATTACAGTCCAACCACCGCCATCAGTTTCCATATCACAGAAGACTTTGAATGGTACACTATCTTCTGGATATATTTTGTAAACACCACTGGTAATATCTAAACCTTTACGTTCTTGACTGCGATAAATTGCACCACAATCAATTGGATCACGTTTTTCATCTTCATCAAAATTTACAGTTCTGTGATGTCCTTGTGCTGTTGTATTGGCACGACGAGCAGTTTGTTTTGTTCTTGCGGCATTGCCTAATTCGACACATAAATTGACCGTAACGAAAAGAATAATAAATTTGAACAACATTTTGTATGATACTTCACTTATACAAACACACGTTATTTATAGGCTGATAAACGTCCATCATGGTTCTTCTATAGACGATGATCTCTCTCTCTCCCTCTTTTCGATATCTATGTCATGTCTTTGTTTTCCATGATATCATTAATATCTATATCCTTTATGTATTTTCTTTCTTCTTTCATTCTAGAAACATATTCAATTCGATATCTCGAATGTCTAAATGACTGTTTCGTCCGTCAGATGATGACACGAATAATAGTTTTAGTGAAAAGAACGAGAAAGAAAGACAACAATGATTTACTATTACATTTTACTTATAATATATTTTCTTTTCTACGTCTATTCTAGTTATTAGGCCATCTTGATCTGAATCTTTTCTAATAAAGGTCAAAAAGAAAACATAGAAAATATTGAAATGATTGATTGTCTTTTTTTGGAATTAAATTGATTATTACGAAATTACAAAAGAATAAGGTTTTAGTAAATCATACAACGAAAGAATTCTGAGTCATAACAAATTAAAATAAATTATCAAGTTTCGAAGGATATATTAATATGGTATTTCGCTGTTTAATTAAAGAAGTATATTTCTTTTTAAGAGAAACAACGAAAATTAAAATCATATTTTAATATTCGCATCTTTTAAATGTATCAATGACAGAAGGCAACTATACATAAAAATATCAAACTTTGATTTTATGATTAAGAGTAGTTAATAAAGTTTGAGTCTAGGTGTAAGCCCAAAATAAAGTTTACTTATGAAGATAATAGGATAGATATGTAAATATCGATGATACCATAAACTCTATCAAACTACACATTGCTTTGATATTAATATATATATCAATGTTTTGGTGAACATTGATGTTACTGGAGTAGAAATTTATTTAGTAGCAAATTATCATATTAACAATTTAATTGAATAGAGCGGTAATGTTTCTTGTTTGGATAGATTTTCTACATGGTTCTTTATAATAATAAAACTCAAAAGAAAAACTCTTTTAAATAAATATCATACCTTCGAAATATTTTTGTTTGCGTATAAGACTAAATGTGTAAATGAAACAAACAACAACAGAATCTGGAATTGAAACGAGTGATTATGAAAATTTAAATAAATATCAAAACCACCAGATGTTGAATTTTTCTTCACTGTCTTATTTATCTTATATTTTATAAACCCAAAAATAATATATCTTATTTTTTGTCACCAGTTATTCGACGTGGTGGTGATTTATTATTTTGAATACTAGTAGTTAACTGAGCATGAGTATCATACGGATTAGGTGCTGCACGTATACCACGTGAAAGACTTATAACGACGTTCATAGTCATCTAATTCTGATTCACCAGGACGGCGTAACTGTGATTGTGCTTCAGTACCTTTTATAAAAACAATAAAATCGTTTATTAATAAAATAAAATCATATTTACTATTAGAATCAAGAGAAGCATGTGCACGAAACATTGGATGATCCATAGCAATTATTGGTTCATTCAGAAAATCATTATCAGGTCGACCTATTTATAGATTAAATATTTAATTTATAATATAATATCTTTTTCTTTCTAACCTCGTCCACTAGGATCAAGTCTTAGTTATCCTTTAGCTAATGAACTAAATCCTGTTAAACCACCCGTCGCTTTATATAGTGTTGCATATCCAGTTGGATGACCAGATTGTTCTCTTTCTTGTTTTGTTTCAACTAATGTTATATGTTTATAAGCTGATTCACCACATATACATGTAAATGGTACACGAAATCCACTACAATTACAATCTAAATGTCGATTAAAAACTAATATTTAGTTTTATTTCATTGAGTGACTAACAATATCTTTTTAACATGTGTAAGGTAATCGTGTTCCATGAGTATCAAGTGAATGTTTACAACGACAATTAGGATCATTTGTCGCAGATGCATTTGCAACATATTCAAATGATACACAACGACATGAAATAAGAATGGGTCGTTCAATTGGAATTTCAGTAAAATCAGTCTTATATTCAGAAAATCTTCATTAAAATTAAAAAAATAATTAGTAATAATGTTTCTTTTTTTTATTTAGTCCACTTATTTCGACAAAGACATTTATGTTGTCATCCAATAAGAATACAATCCATGCCTTGAGGATTTACTCATGATACATATAATCGACTGTTTAATCACTTAAACTATTTAAATTATTCAAAGATTCTGTAATATAAAATATTTTTCAACAACTATTTATTCTTTTTTCACGTAATATAATATCCGATTGAATATAAAAATAAAAAATTCATACCATTGGTAAAACTCGTCTTTTAGATACTTCATATTCTTCTGGTGAAAATACTTTTCCTCCATCATCATCATCATCACTAACAATACTTGGAAAAAATTAATAAATAATAATAGTAATTAATTGAATTCATTGTTCTATTCTTACGCTCGATATTCGAAATATGCATCAACATGTGCAGCTGCATTTGCTGATAAACTAATATAGTCACTTGGTGCACGTCTACGATTATTTCCTGCCATTTTTCTTCTCTATATATATATATGACTGATCGAACATGCATGAAAACATTTCTTTCTTAACATCTTAAAATAATATAATAGAGCAACAATTACACTTTAACTAATTCTAACATGTCGATATTATTCTTGTAGAGTTATATCGAAAGATCATTCTTGATTCTACTGAAAACTAGACCGTTCTTTTACTTAGATTAAACAAAGATCAGTTATTCATCCGTATTATTTTATTGATTAATTCATTTCAATATTGTACTAAAAAAATAGTTCTAATAAGAATCTTTTTTTTCTCATTAAGAAAACAATGTAAAATTAATCATCATGAAAATAAATATTCATTTTTCTCCTAGAAATTCGATGTGAAAAAGCATGAGAAATCACTTTATTTTAACAGAATTTTTTTTCTCTCATTAAACTTTGCATTTCCTTATACAAATATTCATTTTCAATGTTTTCTAACATTAATTACATTCAATATTAGTCAAGGATATTTGTTTCCGCATTCTACATAGGAGAATATGATGTTTTTTCTATATTCTCTATTTGCAACAGATGATAACTCACATATGGCATCATTTTGTTCAGGACAAATTTTTATAAAGGCAATAAGTTCATTTTTCTTATTGATATATGTATTATTTTAAGAATGATTTCTTGTCAAAAACATATAAGAAATATTTCTATTAATTTAATTGACAAACAAGACTTGGTTTTACTTTGATTCAACACCATAGACAATAGAAAACGTATACTGATTTGTAAAGAATAAAATCAAATATTTTATTTTCTCTTTCGCATGATTCATTACTAAAAAACATGAATAAATTCTATCAAAAGTCATTCATATACCTCTCAAATAGGAATTTCATGTGTTTAATTAAATCTGAAGCTTCGTTCAGAAATATTTTTAGGACTCTTAATATTACAAATGCATTTTATCTTTAAAATTTAAGTCATAACAGATGTTAAACGAGATAAAGAATTCGAAATCATTTACGTAAAGATCAACGGTAACTATGGTTGATTCTGTGGAAAATAAAACGATAAATTTTAGACAACAAAATATAAAAACCATAGTTTTTGAACTTGTTTCTATCGAAAGTTATTCAAAACATATTTATTTGCCTTTATTTTTGAAATGGATAGTAGGATCAATTTTCTTAATTGTAGTTTTAATGATTGATTTGTATTTGTGAAAACTACATAAGATATTATGGATTAAAATTATTGTCATAAATTGAATTATTCGATGATATTTAGTATCAAATTTTATGTTTAATTATCTTCTCCTTGAAAATCATCGATCAACGCTTCTAATTCGAGTAGAAAACACTTTCTTGTTAATTCTAAAATAATATAGATGTATATTGATTTAAATTTGATCAATCTTAAAAGGTTTAGACAATATCTAATTTGAACACTTGTTTTTCATTTATCTTGGAATCAACTGTTTTATTTAGTTTAAAAAATAAATTTCATCTTTTATATTATTAACATATGCCGTGTCTAGCTTAACTAATGAAATAAATAATTCGAGAGAGAACGTATTAACATTTTCCTGCTCTTTTCTAGTTTAAAACTAATCAATTTATTAATGCAAAATTAAATATTTATGCTAGACTAGAAATAGAAATACAACAACATTTATCTTATAAAATTTGACCTGATTCAATTTAGATTTAGATTTAATGAGATAAAATATCATGAACAATAAATGTTATTTATTCCAGATAACAATTGTTGATCTAAAATAGAATAATAATAATATTATTTCAACAAAATTTCTATTGGATAACAAATTATAAAAAATAACATATTTTTATATCGTTAATTTATTATCTTAAATTAATAAGAAAATATTTGTTGTTAGCTTTCTGATTTTGAAAAGTTGTTGAAAAAGCGATGAACTTTTATCTGAAAGTAAATTATTTTCTCTCGATAAATATTTGAGTATAACTTGTAAGAATTATTTATGTATATATTGTAACCTTTTTTTATATTATTTTCATTTTTTTGCAATAGAAAAACTTTTGTCGATTATTATTGGAGAAAATTCAATTGAAATATCAACTATGAACGATAAAAAGCAAAATAATGATGATGTAATTTACAAAGAAAACTATGGTGGTAGTATTATTTTTAATTTTTCTTTTTTTGACTATTTTAGTTTCATTCGATTAATGTTGAAATAACTCCAACATCAACTGATCAATCAAGAATATCGTATGTAGATTTTGAATTCTAAAAAAAAGAACAAAAAGTGATTTTTTGTTTAGATTTATAAATATTCTAAAAAGAAAAAAATTCTTATGGATTACAATCGGTGTTGTTGTTACTCTAATTATATTATCAATAAGTATTTCATTACCTATCGTAATGAAAAAAAAGGCAGATGTATCACAAATAACGACAATAACAACAACAACAGCAGCAATAACAACAGAAGGTAAATTTTTGTGAGATAAATAGTTTATTGACTAAATTAATACCATCCGTTTGTGTTTCATGTGTTGTTTAATTAACTTATACTTCGAATTCGAATTGTAGAATACATCTTGAAGTACAATTTCGACATATGGTAGAGAATAATCGATAGGATTTGAACTTTGATATCGTATTTTTTAACTTGAAATCTATTTTACATCACTTTCATAGAATAATAATTCATTCTGTTTGACAGCATAGAAGAAATGAATAGTTTAGTCTATTGTTTCTCAGTTTTATTCGATTTATAAACATAACAAAATACTAGAATTTTAAGAACTATAAAAATCTACCGGACTTTCAAGTGTAACTCATAGAAAAACAGTTATATAATGATAAATTCAGAGATATTTTATGCAATTTTTTCATGGGTATAATCATTAGTAAAGATGAATAATAGTTAATGTCTAATGAATACATCTATAAACTAATTGATTATACATAAACATTTGTTTTAATTAATTTTTTTTAATTTTTTTAAATAGAATTATCAATTACTTCTATGTCAAATAATATTTATCTCAAATGGAAATTAAATTTTTCTATTGTTGCTGGAGAAGGTGTGTATGGAGGTGGCGTAAATCACGCTAGTGACGTTGAAGCAATCTATGTTGATGATGAAGAACAGACGATTTATATTGTTGGATCTCCGTACGAAAGCGATCGAGTTGTTGGACGGAAATTTGGTGAAAAAAGTGGTGAAATTGTTGCTGGTGGAAATGGACAAGGAAATAATTTAGATCAATTGAGAGATCCATCAGATGTAACTGTTGATAAAAAAAACAATTTACTCATTATTTGTGATCAAGGAAACAACCGCGTAGTACAATGGTCTCGTCAAAGACGAATAGATCCAGAAATAATTATCCCTAAAATTAAATGTAATGGTGTAACAATCGATAATGATGGAGATATTTATGTTTCAGAAAGCCAAACAGATACTGTTAAACAATTCAAACAAGGAGAAGCAGAGGGAACAATTGTAGCAGGCGGAAATGGGTATGGCGATAATCCAAACCAATTAAATAATCCTACTTTCATTTTTGTTGATAAACAATATTCGATTTATGTATCTGATTATCGAAGAGGTCGTGTGACAAAATGGATAAAAAATGCAAAAGAAGGAATTATTGTTACTAATGAATCAATTTCAGAAAGTGGTGAATCCCGGTGGCCTGATTCGTTCGGAATGGCTGTCGATCATTTCGGTAATGTATATGTGTCAGAATATGAAAATAAACGAATAGTGCGCTGGTCAGAAAAGTCTACAGAAGGTTACATTGTTATAGATGGAGGAAGTTTCGAAAAACCACCACAACTGTTCGACAAACCCACAGCTATATCATTAGATCGACAAGGGAATCTATATATCGTTGATCGTCACGAGTATCGTATATTGAAGTTTGATGTTGATGTTAACTAAAATTAATATTTGTAATCAAATGAATTTTTCTGAAACAATCTGCTTTTTTTTGTCATTTTTTTTCTTTTCATCTTATTTAAAAATAAATCATCTTATAAATGAATTCTTCTAGTTTATTTTTCTCTTAACGTGTCTAGAATCTCTGAAGATATTTTGATCGATTATTACAATTGAGATACAACACTTCTACGATCGATATAGATTTAAGTACAAATTGTATTTAACTATAATAATTTATGATGATATTTTATGAGCGTAGTTATTATACCATATGGGACATGGAATATTTGTGGATAGAACTATACGATTGTAGCCGACTGTATTGCTATTCAGATTAGATCAGAAAGTATTTTCAACACTTGCTTCGGTTCGAACTTAAACTGAATTTGTTGATTCTTGTTCATCACTTAATAGATGAACAAATCTATTATTATTGTTTTCTCATGTTTTCTTTATCTTCAATAATGATAAATATGAACAACATGATATTCTTATTCATATTGTCAAGATGAGTTATCTATGGAAAAGAATAACTACCCACAAATTTGAGATAACGAGTATGTCATTTATCTCTTATGTCTGTCTATATTGAAATTCAACTATTAATAATTACAAACCATAATAACAATTCACTTATATTTTACTTTATATTATTACTTAAGTTTAGAATACTACTTTAATCTAATAATGTATGTAAAAAATATAATATTTTGAGATTATTTTGTTTTTTTTTGTATTATCAGTTACAACTTGAAAATGATCAGAGAAGATCGAATTTTTTTATTTATATTAAAAAATCTCAGGATAATAATATTATTCATATGTATAGATCTATTGATATCATATCTTCGTTTGAAGATCAATCAGTAGTCCACCCATTATTTTCGATAAGATTCATTGTGTTCACTTTAATTGTAAATGTTAATTGATATTAGAATTTCGAATAATCAGGTACTTATAGAATTCATCAAATTCAAATTTATTTTATTTAAAAGAAAAGAATAAAAGTTAATAATATTAACATAAGTACATTCGACTATTGACTTAAAGAATATATTCTGTACGTTTATATTCGAAATTGATGGTAAAATGGAGAATCGTATACGGTGTCTATATAGATCGACAAGATTTGTACGTCATGTTGATGTGTTAGGAAAAGCGCTCGAGTGGATGGCATCTCACGGTACTTCAGATTCAGCAGCAGTATGTAATGAAGAGGAACGAACATGCTTTGTTCAATTTTCTGAAAATTTTTATGTATCCGAGCGATATTACTTTGGATTTTGGAAGGTCATGCTGACAAAAAAATATGAGAGCCGAAGAAGGAAGAGAAGAATGGTGACTATAAAAAATAAGAGGAAAAAAGAAAAAAGAACAATAACAGCTTTAAATGAGTAATGCTCCATGTACACATGCTTGATAGCCGTGCTGCTCCTGTCCTTACTTGCATTTTTCTTCTCTCCATGTGTGATTCAGACAGAGCATGTCTGTCTGCTAGCTTAGTGCAATCCGTTGAATCTTTCTCTTGGTGATATTGTGCTCTATCATTTTCTCTTTTCTCTTACTTTCACAAGCTTCTTCAAGTTTGTTAACTTAACTGTTCCTCTAGGACCGACATGGTCAGAGGTTCCTCTTAAGTTAATAAAAAAAAATTCGTGATGAAATGATAATATAGATAATAAATAAAGAAAAATGTTATTATTATCTTGAAATAAAATTTATTTTTTCTATAATAGAAAGAAATTCCTGTTTGTATGTTCTTGAAGGTAAAATAAATAAAATAATAATAAGTAATGGTGGAATAAATGAAATATAATATTCAATTAAATATGGAAGAAATGTCTTTTGATCACCACAAATGGAGTGAAATGATCACTTGATTAGTTGTATGTAAAATGATCCTCAAAAAAGGGTGAAATGATCACCTAATTTATCTGTATGTGAAATGATCACTAAATTAGAAAAAACAGTTTAAAAATAATCAAATAAAGTAAGAAGAGGTGATTTGGCACAACTTTTCTTTTTAAAGATCATTTTGTTAATGATTTTACCTGGATGTGGTAAAAAGGTGAAAACAAAGATTAGTATAGGTGTCTAGAGAAATGTTTGGGCTATCGAATGGTATAGTTATAAAAAAATGATTTAAAATAGGTTAGTAAATTAGATTTTATTATTTATCAGTAAAATACATGGGGTTGTCGAATCAACCCATGCGGGGTAATTTGGCAAAGCTATTAGTCAGTCTCACTAAAACGGCTGCTGAAACTTTACCAGAAGAGATTTTTAGAAATTCATACACCAAGCGATAGAAAAATATTTTTACTAGATGTTTTGTACTCAAAAAAGTTTTCGATCATTAAAAATAAAAAAAACTATTCGCAAAATAACACAAGAATAAAAGAAAAGTTGTGCCAAATCACCCCTTCTTACTCTATTTGATTATTTTTTAACTGTTTTTTCTAATTTGGTGATCATTTCTCTCTTTTTTCGGTGATCATTTCACCCTTTTTTCGACGATCATTTCAATCCTTTTGTGGTGACAAAAACACTCCTCGTCCCATAACCATATACAGTTTGAACCTTATTGGTAAGACGTGTCAAGATGATTTTGTGATACTCTATCAAATAAATGATATATTATCAGACAAAACAAGAACGTGGGCGTGGGTGTGAGTATTTTATTTATCGAATATTCACATCTCCAAGATATTTGATAAATCCTTCATTTTCTATCATGTGTAAAAACATTGAAATAATATCTTAACCCTTTCAAAGCTAGTGGAATATATATGTGTATCATCTTTTTGTTTTTCGTTATAGAATTTTAATGAATTGGGAAAATCGATTCTGATGGAAAGCACGATAATATTGCATGAACAGCATTCATTTCCCGCTGTTACAGTTAAAAAACAGAGAAAATGATGATGTATATTTTCTTTTTTAACTGTGTAATAAGTAAGATAAGAGAATTCAAATGATATTTTTGGACAGAGAAAAAAAGAACGATCTATATATGTAAATGTATGACGCATATTGATGAATATTAATAGAATACTTTTCTCCGAAATTTTTAATAGTCTCTTGATAAATATGAGTTATTTTACAGATTAAATAACGACAATGATAAATGAAATTAAAGAAAATATATCAAATGATATGTATGTCAATGAGGGAGATGCTACAGGTCTAACTGTACTACCTTTGCCAGTTTCTCATTCTATATGGATACTATATTTCTATTCTCGTTCCGCAAAACAATTTCAATCGTCAAGAAAGTGTTCTAATGTATTACCATCATTTATGTATTATAAAAAGAAATGAATTATTTCATTTTTCCTACTTTACTAAAGCTTTTGTATAAATTATACTCATCTGACTGATCTGAAAATATCGACAGAAATTTATTATTCAAAATTTGACTTTGAAAAAGTTGAAGAAAAACAACTTTTTGTTTCGATCTAAAATTATAAAAGATTAATCATATACATTTCTGTTTATTTCATTCTACTAGTTCTTTTTGCGAATATAGAATGTAATTTGCTTAGAGCTCGTCTTAAATTTCTTTTACTGATTTATTTATTTTTGAATAACTATTTTTACTTTCGTAATAATATGTAAAGATATTTACAAATAGTTAAATGCTCATTAGTCTTGCATTTGACGTTATTAGTTCTTATTTGAATAGATGAGTTATTATCTGACTTCGAGCATAATTCGAACGCTTATTGACTCTTTTTTTACATTATTCATTTTCTTGAAGTAAGATATTTCTTCGAAGAATTTTGAGTTAAAGTAATAGAAATTAATGTAAAGAATAATCAATATAAAACTGCTACGAAAAATATAATCGATTTGAAAATAAAAATCATGAGTTATTTTATTTGAGTCTCAATGCAATGTTGTCCACTTCATGAACCTGTTATTTTACTATTTGAGTCTATCTGTTGTGTATTTTATATCTTCTTAAATCAATTCGACATAAAGCAATGCTTCGATTAAAATATATTGTGCTAATGAATCTGTCGTTTTGAGTATATTTGAAGATGTTGGGTGCGAATGTGAGTGGATGTGGGTATGAGTGTCGGTGCTACGCGAATAAAGTATTCTTAGCCATATCCAAACCCACACTCTCCGGATAATACTATAATCAATCATGTGAATACATTCTGAAAGCTAGCATATGCCTTGAAATTCAAGTGTATTACAAATAACGATGCATTGAAAACATTATTTCAGACGTATCATAAGACAGAATTGTCATAAACAAGTCATTCATATATTTTCCTTCTCTTCCCTTTCCTTTTTTTTGTTTTGTTTTCTTTGAGAATTTGATATTTTCCAACAACATTAAATTGTCTTTTGCATAATGATCGGTGTTCAGATACATTGTTTGTTTGTTTGTTTTTGAATTCGTAAATAAACCTGATTTGTATTTAGTCATGAACCAAAACTATGTTTCTCAATTAGTTAATAACTGAACTTCAAGTATCATTAACAAATAATCTCAACGAGAAATGTTTTTCTTCACAGGCTTATTTATCTTATATTTTATAGACCCAAAAATGATATATAAAAGCAACCCAATTTTCCCCCCGAAATAATATATCTTATTTTTTGCCACCAGTTATTCGACGGGGTGATGATTTATTATTTCGAATACCAGTAGTCAACTGAGCATTCGTATCATAAGGATTACGTGCTGCACGTATACCACGTGAAAGACGTTGCTAAAACAAGAAAGAATTAAATAACAATAAAAAATAATGTATACATAGTTTACTCGTTCTTGATGACGACGTTCATAATAATCTAATGGTGATTCACCAGGACGACGTCATTGTGATTGAGCTTCAGTACCTTTTATAAAAACAATAAAATCGTTTATTAATAAAATAAAATCATATTTACCATTAGGATCAAGAAATACATGTGCACGAAGAATTGGATGATCCATAGCAGTTATAGATTGATTCAGAAAATCACCATCAGGTTGACCTATTTACGGATCAAATACTTAAATTATAGAAATATCTTTTTCTTTCTAACCTCGTCCACTAGGATCAAGTCTCAAATATCCTTCAGCTAATGAACTAAATCCTGTTAAACCACCCATCGCTTTATATGATGTTGCATATCCAGTTGAATGAACAAGTTGTTCTACCCAGTACAATTGTAATCTAAATGTCGATTCAAAAAACTAAAATTTTCTTTTTTTCATTAAGTGATTAACAATACTTTTCTGACATGTATAAAGTGGTCGTGTTCCATAAGTATCAAGTGAATGTTTACAACGACAATTAGGATCACTTGTAGCAGATGCATTTGCAACATATTCAAATGATACACAACGACATGAAATAAGAATGGGTCGTTCAGTTGGAATTTCAGTAAAATCAATTTTATGTTCAGAAAATCTTCATTAAAATTAAAAAAAATAATTAGTAATAATGTTTTCTTTTTTTATTCAGTTCACTTATTTCGACAAAGACATTTATGTTGTCATCCAATAATAATACAATCCATGCATTGAGGATTTACCCATGATACATATAATCGATTGTGTAATCGCTTAAAATATTTAAATTATTCAAAGATTCTGTGATATAAAATATTTTTCAACAACTATTTATTCTTTTTTCACGTAATATAATATCCGATTGAATATAAAAATAAAAAATTCATACGATGGATAAAACTGGTCTTTTATATTCATCATATTTCTCTAGCGAAAATAATTTTCCTTCATCATCACCATCACCAACAATACTTGAAAAAAATTAATAAATAATAATAGTAATTAATTGAATTCATTGTTCTATTCTTACGCTCGATATTCGAAATATGCATCAACATGTGCAGCTGCATTTGCTGATAAACTAATATAGTCACTTGGTGCACGTCTACGATTGTTTCCTGCCATTATTCTTTTCTATATATATATATGACTTATCGAATGTGCACGAAAAAATTTCGTTTTTAACATTTTAAAATAATATAATAGAGCAACAATTACGCTTTAACTAATTCTAACATGTCGATATTATGCTTGTAGAGTTATATTGAAAGATCATTTTGGATTCTATTGAAAACTAGACCGTTCTTTTACTTAGATTAAACAAAGATCATTTATTCATCCGTATTATTTTATTGATTAATTCATTTCAATATTGTACTAAAAAAATAGTTCTAATGACAATTTTTTTTTTCTCATTAAGAAAACAATGTAAAATTAATCATCATGAAAATAAATATTCATTTTTCTCCTAGAAATTCGATGTGAAAAAGCATGAGAAATCACTTTATTTTAACAGAATTTTTTTCTTCTCTCATTAAACTTTGCATTTCCTTATACAAATATTCATTTTCAATGTTTTCTGACATTACTTACATTCAATATTAGTCAAGGATATTTGTTTCCACATTCTACATAGTAGAATATGATATTTTTTCTATATTCTCTATTTGCAACAGATGATAACTCACATATGGCATCATTTTGTTCAGGACAAATTTTTATAAAGGCAATAAGTTCATTTTTCTTATTGATATATGTATTATTTTAAGAATGATTTCTTGTCAAAAACATATAAGAAATATTTCTATTAATTTAATTGACAAACAAGACTTGTTTTTACTTTGATTCAACACCATAGACAATAGAAAACGTATACTGATTTGTAAAGAATAAAATCAAATATTTTATTTTCTCTTTCGCACGATTCATTACTAAAAAACATGAATAAATGCTATCAAGAGTCACTCATATACCTCTCCAATAGGAATTTCATGTGTTTTATTGAATCTGAAGCTTCATTCAGGAATATTTTTAGGACTCTTAACATTAGAAATGCATTTTATCTTTAAAATTTAAGTCATAACAGATGTTAAACGAGATAAAGAATTCTAAATCATTTACGTAAAGATCAACGGTAACTATAGATGATTCTGTGGAAAATAAAACGATAAGTTTTAGACAACAAAATATAAAAATCATAGTTTTTGAACTTGTTTCTATCGAAAGTTATTCAAAAAATATTTATTTGCCTTTATTTTTGAAATGGATAGTAGGATCAATTTTCTTAATTGTAGTTTTAATGATTGATTTAAATTTGATCAATCTTAAAAGGTTTAGACAATATCTAATTTGAACACTTGTTTTTCATTTATCTTGGAATCAACTGTTTTATTTAGTTTAAAAAATAACTTTCATCTTTTATATTATTAACATATGCCGTGTCTAGCTTAACTAATGAAACAAATAATTCGAGAGAGAACGTATTAACATTTTCCTGCTCTTTTCTAGTTTAAAACTAATCAATTTATCAAAGCATACTAGATAGTTATGCTAGACGAGAAGTAGAAATACAACAACATTTATCTTATAAAATTTGACTTAATCTAATTTATATTTAGAATTAATGAGATAAAATATCATGAACAATAAATGTTGTTTATTCCAGATAACAATTGTTGATCTAAAATAGAATAATAATAATATTATTTCAACAAAATTTCTATTGGATAACAAATTATAAAATAACATATTTTTATATCGTTAGTTTATTATCTTAAATTAATAAGAAAATATTTGTTGTTAGCTTTCTGACTTTGAAAAGTTGTTAGAAAAGCGATGAACTTTTACCTGAAAATAAATTATTTTCTCTCGATAAATATTTGAGTATAACTTGTAAGAATTATTTATGTATATATTGTAACCTTTTTTTTATATTATTTTCATTTTTTTGCAATAGAAAAACTTTTGTAGATTATTATTGGAGAAAATTCAATTGAAATATCAACTATGAACGATAAAAAGCAAAATAATGATGATGTAATTTACAAAGAAAACTATGGTGGTAGTATTATTTTTAATTCTTCTTTTTTTGACTATTTTAGTTTCATTCGATTAATGTTGAAATAACTCCAACATCAACTGATCAATCAAGAATATCGTATGTAGATTTTGAATTCTAATAAAAATAACAAAAAGTGATTTTTTGTTTAGATTTATAAATATTCTAAAAAGAAAAAAATTCTTATGGATTACAATCGGTGTTGTTGTTACTCTAATTATATTATCAATAAGTATTTCATTACCTATCGTATTGAAAAAAAAGAAAAATGTATCAGAAATAACGACAACAACTACAACGATAACAACAACAACGATAACAACAGCAACGATAACAACAGCAAGAACAACAACAACAACAACAGAAGGTAAATTTTTTGAGAGATAAATAGTACAGAAAAGATAGTATATTGATTAAATCAATACCATCAGTTTGTGTTTCATGTTTTGTTCAGTTAAATTATAGTTCCAGTTCGAATTGTAGAATATATCTTGAAGTATATTTCGACATATGATAGGGAACAATCGATAGAATTTGAACTTTTATATCGTATTTTTTAACTCGAAATCTATTATATATCACTTTCATAGAATAACAATTCATTCCGTCTGATCGCGTAGAAAAAAATGAATAGTTTAGTTTATTGTTTCTCATTTTTATTCTATTTATAAACATAACAAAATACGAGAATTTTATAATAATTTGAGAATTATAGAAATCATCAGGACTTCAGAGTTTTACCCATAGAACATGATTTATATAATGATAAATTCAGAGATATTTCATACAAGTTTTTGATGGATATAATCGTTAGTGAAGATGAACAATTGTCAAAATCTGATAAACACATCTATAAATTAACTGATTATGTATAAACATTTGTTTTAATTTTTTTTTTAATTTTTGCAATAGAGTTATCAGTTACTTCGATGTCAAATAATAATTATCTTCAATGGAAATTAAATTTTTCTATTGTTACCGCACATGGGCATGGAGACGACTTATATCAAGTTAGTCGAGTTCAAGGAATCTATATTGATGATGATAATCGAACGATTTATATTACTCGACATAATAGTGATCGAGTTGTTGGATGGAAATTCGGTGAAAAAAGTGGTGAAACCGTTGCTGGTGGAAATGGACCAGGAGATGATTTAAATCAATTGAAAGATCCATCAGATGTAACTGTTGATAAAATAAATGATTTACTTATTATTTGTGATAAAGGAAACGAACGTGTAGTACAATGGTCTCGTCGAAATCGAACAGACCCAGAAATAATTATCCCTAAAATTAAATGTAACGGTGTAACAATCGATAATAATGGAGATATTTATGCTTCAGAAGGAAAAACACATAGTGTTATACGATTAAAACAAGGAGAAACAAAGGTAACAACTGTAGCCGGTGGAAACGGGCCTGGATATAATCTAAATCAACTAAATAACCCTGCTTATATTTTTGTTGATGACCAATATTCGATTTATGTATGTGGTTATACATCTGGTCGTGTCACAAAATGGATAAAAAATGCAAAAGAAGGAATTATTGTTGCTAAGGGGAGAATTCCAGATACGAATCAACTAATGTATGATTATCCGTTCGGAATGGCTGTCGATCATTTTGGTAATGTATATGTGTCAGAAGTTAACCGAGATCGAATAGTGCGCTGGTCAGAAAAGTCTACGGAAGATTACATTGTTATGAATGGAGGAAGTCAGGAACGACCACCATATTTGTTCGCTGCAGTCGGCGCTATATCATTAGATCGAGAAGGTAATCTATATGTCGTTGATAATTTCCGTCATCGAATACAGAAGTTTGATGTTGATGTTAATTGAAATTATTATTTGTAATCAAATAAACTATAATGAAACAATTTGCTTTTTTGTCGTTTTTTTTTCTTTTCATCTTATTTAAAAATAAATCATTTTATAATTAAATTCCTCTCATTTATTTTTCTCTTAACATGTCTAGAATCTTCTTCGAAAATATTTTGATCGATTATTACAGTCGTCTAGTACAGATCGTACACAATTGAAATACAACACTTCTACGATCGATATAGATTTAAGTACAAATTGTATTTAACTATAATAATTTATGATGATATTTTATGAGCGTAGTTATTATGCCATATGGCACATGGAATATTTGTAGATAAATCTATACGATTGTAGCCGACTGTATTGCTAATCAGATTAGATCAGAAAGTATTTTCAACACTTGCTTCGGTTCGAACTTAAACTGAATTTGTTGATTCCTGTTCATCACTTGATAGATGAGCAAATCCATTTATACATAAATCTATAAATACTTATCTATTATTGTTGTTTTCTCATATCTTCCTTATCTTTAGTAATGATAAATATGGACAACATGATACTCTTATTCATATTGTGAAGATGAGTTATCTATGGTAAAGAATAACTATAGACAAACGGATGATAGAGTACTATCACAAGTAGAGAATAATTCATACAAAATTGGTACAAATTTCTTTTATTGTTATCCATGAAAGAGAAATAAATGACTTTGAGTATGAGATAAAGAGTATCTCATTTATTTGTTATGTGTATCTATATTGAAATTCAACTATTATTTCATTTTTTTATCAGATTAGCTTATATTTAATCGAACAATAGATAAGATTAATATATATAACATCTATTTTTTCATATAAAGGTAAATTTAATATAATTATCTTTTATTTTTTTAATATAAATAAGAAATTTTCAACTTATAACTTATAATACAAAAAAAATTGTTCTTTTTCAACATTATAACATAAACACAAACCATAATAGCAATTCACTTATATTTTATTTTATATTATTACTTAAATTTAGAACACTATTTTAATGTAATAATCTATGAAAAATATAATATATGGAGATTATTTTTTTTTTGTATTATCAGTTATAACTTCAAAATAATCGTATAACATCAAAAATTTTCTATTTATTTTAAAAAATCTCAATATAATAATATTATTCATATGTATAGATCTATTAATATCATATGTTTGTTTCAACATCAATCAGTAGTTGACCCATTATTTTCAGATTAATTCTCATTTTTACTAAGATTCATTGTGTTCACTTTGATTGTAAATGTTAATTAATATTAGAATTTTCAACAGTCAAGTACTTATAGCATTCATCAAATTTGATTTTATTTCATTTAAAAGAGAATAAAATAATGTATGATTTTATTTATTTCACATAGAATTTAGAAAGCGAGTGTAGATGCAACAATAAAAGTAAATGAAAAGAATATTAACATAAGTACATTCGACTATTATGGTGAAATGATAATATAGATAATAAATAAAGAAAAATGTTATTTTTATTTTGAGAAAAAATTTATTTTTGCTATCATAGAAAGAAATTCCTGTTTGTATGTTTTTGAAGGTAAAATAAATAAAATAATAATAAGTAATGGTGGAATAAATGAAATATAATATCCAATTAAATATAACCATGGAGTACGTATTGAATCCATACATCCAGATAGAAATGAAATAATTAAACGAGGAATAGATAATAATATTAAAATACATGATGATATAAGAAGATGTTTATTTTGTTTAATTTGAGCATAAAGAATTTTTTTATATGCTGA